AATAAAATACTAATTGATTATAAATAATAAATGATTAATAATACAAAAATGATTAATAATATAATGGAATTTTCCGGCGACTTCTGGGTTTTTTGTACAACCTTTATTTAATTCATTTCTCTCGTCTTCGCTATCTTCATCGTTTAATGTAATACAGTCAATATACCTTTTAGTCACGTATGTCACATGATTTTTTGGATTAATATTTTCCTATAACAGTATCCCCCCTTTTTAAAAATGAACTCCAGTGAATTTCCAAAATATTTGTTATTTATGAAATTCTTTGTTTATAGATTTTCAAATAACAAATTTTCTAAGATATTCTATTTCATTCTAAATTATTCTATGGGTTGTAATTTGCTGATCGATTACGTGATAGTATTGTGAATTTTGCTAATCAATTGCATAATTCCACATGATGATTATCAACAAATAATTATCCCATAATTATTTATTTATGTTTTACAGAGAAGGAAATTCTCACAATCTTGAGAATTTCTAAGAGTTTAACACAGCCACTTTCTTTATATATAAATATTCATTTAAAATTTTCATCTATTTCCTTTAAATTTTTCTTTTTCTTCCAAAATTATTGTAAAATTCCAAACTTTTCTTGAAATATTTTTACTTTTATAATTTCAACATAGGCAAGAGTTTTTGCAAGCAATTTTTTTTACACCACTAATGCAACCTTTGAAATCAAGAAGAAGAGACTAGACAACGAAGAATAGATGAACTTGATATTAAAAATCACAGGCTTCAACAACTATTGAATTCCTCTTTATCTCAAGTAAATAGCTTATCTAACGAAATTCGTTGTTTGTCTTCTCATTTATCTCATAATAGATATCGATATCGAGACCTTGAAGTAGAATACAAGAGCCTTTTATTTCAGTACAATTGTGCAAGAGCTGATATTAATCGTCTCCAAAGTTATGAAGATGTCCAATCTGTTCAAAATTTTCAAAACAATTTAGATCAAATACAAAGAAACTTTAGGAGAATATTGGAGTAACTTCGTCAGAGAAGTGAAGAATTTAATTTTCCTTATCACGTGCCTCTTAATGATTAATTTACTACTAAATATCTTTTCATGGAGAGATATCGTTTACATTTTTGCTTGTTATAGAACTACGCTTTGCCGTCGCCTTTTTGGCCGTTCTATAGACTACGCTTTCTCTCTCTTTATTTTTTTTTAGCTAGTAATAGTTATCCTAGATAGTTTCTTATAAATGTATTTTCTTTTTCTCCTCTATATTGATGTATTTTATTATCTTTTGT